ACAAGAATATTTTACATTCTTCTTCTCCAACTCTGTGACTTTAAATTTTCTCTCTACTTTTTTTCATTAGCTTACAACTCCTCAGTTCTATACCCCTATTTACTCGGGTATCGAATTTTTTGTATTCCTAATTTCGCAGCATTTCAACCAATTGAAAAGCGATAACCACCTGCCAGGTGCGAGCCCGAAATTTTCTCGCGGAATTTTCAAATTCCCGCCGCCGAGGAAAGGGGTGCGCGTGCGCTCTGGGGAAAATCGATGGGCGAGCGTAGCGGCTTCGAATCCACCCCGCCGCGTATCTATAGTATCAGTTTCCCGGAGTCGCAACAAAGAAAACCTACCTGATTTTCCATAACACACGGCAGGATAAGTGCGTGAAAAAAGAAACGGCCGCGATGCCGGCTTCGCATCGCCCCCGCGGCGTTGAGGTTATGTCGCAGACATCAGGGGTGAGTAATTGATTTATTTGGGTTCGTTTGGAATTTGAAAATTGTACCCGACTAATTAATCCGCTCGTTAAGGTTTGGAGGTTTGTTGCAGGAGAAATTTGTTTGTTAATGTGAGGATGATTCATTTTTTGGTATTTAGGGGGTTGGGGGTGTTGATTGATGGGTGCATGAAATGTATATTCAATAGTTTTGTATTTAATAGTTTCGTGATGGATTTATTGATAAAATTATATCATAAGTTTTTCCAAAAATTGAATATTTAAACATATTTATAATAGTAGAAGATGTAGAGATTTAATCGAAATTATTTTCATTGTAGGGTAGAATAATTGTAATATTTTTGTATTGTGGTGCACAGTAAAATCATATACAAAGATCAACTTGTGTTTTTTGATAAAAAATATTTGTGAAAAACCGTTATAAATAATACAAATCCAAAAAGTAACCAACTTTATCATTGCAAACAAAAAAAATCGAATAATCAAGATAAAATTAACAACCCCCTTTCACCCCGGCAATACACATTAAAAATCATACACAACCGATTTACAGGGCGCATAACGATCGCAATTAACCAGTTACATGTACGTTAAAAATCCCTGAATTTACCCTCCCGAAAAATACGCGAACTCCAAAAAAAAAAAAAGGAAAAAAAAATCCCCATAACATATCTGGTAAAACAAAATGCAGTGACGAATGGCGTGGTCCGTCGACTCCGGCCCGTAGTGGGGGTTGGAATCGGGTGTACTCCAGGGTGAGCAGGGGTGGAGGGGTCCGAAAATCGTGCGCAAGGGGTGGCAACGGGCGTCGTAAACGTACCGTCGCGACGTTCACATAGTGAGCAGACAGTGTGGCGTCTACAAGTCTGGCACTACCATTTTGGTAAGTTTTACTGCATATTAGTGTTATATAGTGTGTTTTTGCAACTTGTGCCGGGTTACACCCACCTTTTTTTTTTTAGTCGCGGTGGTTGAGATTTTATTGGGATTGTGTGCGAACGATTTCGACGTGGGATAGATTTTTTTTTTCGAATTTCACTTTTCATTAATTTACACGATTTTCGGTGATATCTACTATAAGTGGTTGAATTCGAGTATTTTTAGGTAATTATAAATATCTGTTTATTTTCCAGTTGTTTCCTGATTTTTAGTAAAATAATTTTTAGATAGAAATAACTTATTTTGCACTTATCACTTTCATTATCAATATTTCATTAATAATTCATTTCAAAAGTTACCTAGCACTTTGGTAATTTAAAATTATTTCCCCATTGAGTATTTTATTATTACTACCCAATAGTTAAAAAATTTAATCACGCAGAATTATTTAGTTATACATTGATTAGCAGTTAAGTAGAAAATCAAAATGTTAGGGTCAAGGTTCAAATCGTTAAATACCAACAAAGTTATTAATTATTAGAAAAGTAGCGTAATCACGAAATTTTAAAGAGAAGAAAATTCGAAGCTAACTAAAATATCTTCAATTTAACACGATTAATACTTAAACTCGACTATATTCACATAGTTTTCCTTCACCAAATAGCAAAAAATACTCTTTCCCTAAATAATAGAGTCTTTAATTGTGTCTAATCCTCTATTACTAGTTTGATGATTTTGAAATTCTCCTGTTAAATATTATCCCAATAGAGTCTATTAATTCCCAAATGCTATTACGCACTTTTATCTGTAAGTATCGCAATACTTTCGTAATCGCATAAATAGCGATATTATTAATGATAGTAGTTATCTAAATAACAATTTATATTGTAAAATAATAAAATTAGGATACAGTATCTAAACATTAACAGATATTCGTGACTGATTAGATACGTTTATACAACCGTTTATATACCCCAACAGAATCGATACAACAAAAACTATTCGCATTGTTTCTAACATTCACACTCACCGAATTAACCAGCCCGCGCGTCCTCCAGACACCGCCCCCATCGACCCGCTCTCTCTGGCGATAACAATTAACGAAATTAACCAAAAACCCCCGACAATAACACCAACCTTCCGCCGTTATTGTGGCGATAAATTCGAAATCGTCCGGCATCGCCGCCTCCGCCGCCGCCGCCGCCGCCATCAGCTGTTCACCGTCACGTGACCGTAGCGTGTTCGCCGGTATGACGTCATCTAGCGCGTCGAGACGTCGGTATATGTTGTACGGACGGGCACCCGTCGCGCTAAAACGGGGATGATGGTAATACGCGATTAGTGATCCACACTTGATCGATATGTTTACGATGGCGGCGAGGAAAGTACTTTTTGTATCGTCCATTTTGGTTTTTTGTTGTACCTGGAGACTGTCTGTGTGCTTTGTTTTCGTTAGATTCGATTCGAAAGCTGCTGGAGCTTTCGTTGCCTGGTTCTGAATTGTCCTGGATAAGGATGAGGAATTTGCGACTATTGGGACATTCTGTAACATTTATTTATCTACTTTAGGTAACAATCTTTTGAATCCCTGAAATGTCCGGGAGAAGTATTGGACTATAAATTTGCACCTGTTCGAATATCTGTAACATTTTCTAAGTCCTGAAAGCTCCGAAACTTTTATTATCTCAAATTGTTCATCTCAATTATCTTATTTCTGAAAGCTCCAACAACATTTTGCTTCCCTGAAATATCCTGGAAGAGGATTGGATCAAGAAAAAGCTTTACCTCAATCTATTATTTCAAATTGTTCATCTCAAATATCCTAATCTTGAAAGCTCCAACAACATTTTACAACCCTGAAATATCCTGGAAAAAGATTGGATCAAGAATTTGCATCTATTCGAACATTCTGTAACATTTTCTAAGTTCTTAAAGCTCCAAAGTTTTTACTATCTCAATTTGTTCATCTCAAATATCTTAATCCTGAAAGCTCCAACAACATTTTGAACCCCTGAAATATACTAAAAAAGGATTGGATCAAGAATTTGCAACTATTGGGACATTTTGTACCATTTTCTGTAAGTATCTACTTCCTTAAAGCTTCAAAGTTTTTACTATCTCAATTTGTTCATCACAAATATCTAAATCCTGAAAGCTCGAATAACAACCTTTTACATCCCTAAAATACCTTGGAAAAAGATTGTTTTAAAAATTTGCATCCATCGGTACAATCTGTACCATTTTCTGTACCAAAGTTTTCTCATCTCGATTTGTTCACCTTATTTATCTCAATCCAGAAAGCTTCAACAACTTTTTGTATAAGCTCTTCATTATCCATTCAATTCTGGAACAATTTTTGAATTTTTACAATCCGCTGTGCGACCTCCATTCGAGAATCGTTCTCACGTATACACGATCGACTTTAATTCGAAATTACAATAAAAAAATCCAGCTTTAAAATTCGTTGTTTAAAGGGGACGCGACCTTCGTCCAGAAATAAAAGGCATTATCCTCGTAGAAGCAGACAAAATCAATGCTACACAGACCTTACGCTACCCTATTTTCTATAAGCACTTACTGCATAATCACGACAGGGGCGTCTATAGCACAGAATTTCTCATTACTTATCTAACACAAAATTGTGCAAATTCTTCGATTTTATCACACTCTAATCAAATCTACTAATTAAATTACCAATCTAAATAATTCCATGTAGTTTACGCCGTTTCGATTTATGTAATGTATCTATTGAATGGCTATCGAAGGGGTTGCAAAACGACCCGTACGCCGCTGGTCGCGCTGTAAGGGGGGTACCGCAAGGGGCGATAACCGGACCCCTCGCTTACGCCGCATTTAATGCTCGCGTCCCGGACGCACCCCTCTTCGCGTATTTCACCCTCGCGGCTCATTCACGTTTCGGGTTGACACGTGCCCGGCGAGCACCGACAGCGCCGGGTCATTGGGAATTCAGAAAGAGCCGTCAATGGACCGGCCGGGGCCCGGGGGTGCGCGTCGGCGAGTCAAGAGGGAGCCCCCTTCGTTCGGTTCGGGATTTTTTTACGGGTTGATTGACGAGCGTTAAAGTAGGGAGAACGTGTTGTGTTGAGTCGAGATGCGGAGGAGAGTTTGATGTTGAAGATGGTGTGCAGAATATAATTTTATTAAGACAAACCATCTTGTATAGTCGATATGTTTAAATTCCAGTCGGTACATTAAAATCGTTTGATGCGGAATATTCGATTTCTAGGAATGGTATTTTTAAAAAAAAAATATTTTCGAATGAGTTTAACAATTAATTTAGAAGTTTCAAATAAATTACTAATATATTTCGATTTTTTTATCATTATTGCTAATAGTAGAAGCGCGTTGAGTGACGAGCGTTAATTCGGCGAGCGTTAAAAGTAGGGAGAATGTGTTGTGAAGATTTGAGATGCGAAGGAGAGTTTGATATTAAAGGTAGGAGGATGAGACGATGTGCAGAATATAATTTTATTAAGACAAATCATCTCATATAGTCGATATGTTTAAAATTCCAGTCGGTACATTAAAATCGTTTGATGCGAAAAATTCGATTCCTAGCAACGGTATTTTCAGAAAAAAAATATTTTCAACAATTAATTTAAATTAGTTAATTTAGAAGTTTCAAACAAATCATTAATATATTTATTGCTACTAGTAGAAGCGCGTTGAGTGCGTACCAGAAGTGTAAACACGAGTTAAAAATTTCAAAAAAATTTCAAAAAAAAAATGCATCATCGAAATCCCCTAATAGTGTAAAAACCCGCAGGTATCAAAATATTGTCTTAAAATTTATTCGTCCGTTTCGCAACCTCCACCGCGCTTCCCTACGTCCGGCTGCTCCCGGCGCCCTCGTCCTCGCTCCTCGCCCTCAAGTACACATCATAGCAGGTGTTCACCGCCTTGAACCCGAGATTGTCGAAGAAATTGTGCGACGCCGCGTCGTCGGCGCGCACCACCGCGCACGGGTGCACCCCCTCGCTGGCCAGCTCCTTGCACAGCGTCTTCACCACCGCCGAGGCGAAGCCGCGCCGCTGGTACCGCTCCGCCGTCTGCACGAACCCCACCTGGCCGGCCATCGTCTTCAGCGCCCACGACGCCAGCTGCCCGTCGCCGGTGAACGCCCCGTAGCCGCCGTTCACGTCTATCAGGGTGCGCGGGACGTCCTCGCCGGTCAGCCCGTGCGGCCAGTTGCCCAGCACCGCGAACGCGTGGACGTCCGACAGCGGCTTCACCTCCACGTTCTCCTCGTCCGGAACGCTGGAACCCACCAAGTAACATTCGAATATACGCTCGCTAATATTCGGCTATTTGCATTGTTCCAGGTGGCTCACCTGATTTCGAATTGGAGCGCCTCCTCCTTGATCATTTTGAAGGTGCGACAGCGCTCCTCCTTGGCGATCCTGGCGCGCTTCCGCTTGATGACGCGCCGCACCACCGGCATCAGCCCCTCGTGGATCTCCTTGAAGACGACGGGCCGGCGGGCGCTGTCGAAGTTCACGCGCTTGGTGAACATCAGGCCGGAGAAGACGGCGTTGGCGGACTCCTCCGGGCGGTCCGGGTGCAGCGTGTACACCCCCACCTCCACGCACCTGTCGAACTGTTCGAACAGATTACATCAGTAAGTACTCAGTGATTTGTTAGAGAACGGTACAGTGAATAGTAGAGTGATTGGTTACCTCTATGGAGGATATGAAGGTGCCGGTGTCTCGCCAGGAGGCCAGCGGGGAGGCGAACCTCATGGGGTAGCCTTTGACCATTTCGCGTATCCTGAATCCGTTGTCTATTAAGCTGGTGACGCAGGGATTCTGTTCGTTGTTTCTGTACATGTCGCTCAGAGTTCTCAGGTCGTTGTCGGCTACTTCGAATAGACACTCTGTTGGCTTATTCGCCGCTCGATTGGACATTTTACCGTAAATTTTTTCGACTGCAAATATTAATAGTTTATTATTATACAAAATGGTTAAACGATCGTTATTTTTGTTCGATACGTTTTCGATGTAATTGGAATTGTAGAGGTTAGTTGATGGGACACTTAACAAATAGGTGTGGTGTGTAATGTATGGCCGATAAAATGAACATAACCCAACAGTCTATATTAATTGAAAGCGATAGTAATTAAAGATTTTCGTTGAGATTATAATTCAACAACAATTTCACATCAAAACGGAAATTTACCTCGAAATTTCGATTAAAAAAAATTGTTGACTGAAGTCAATATTTACCATTTAAGGTGGTTTTAACCAGTTACCCCCGGTTTTAGGCGCCTTGCTAAAAATCGTAATCCCGCGAAATTTCTACCCACTACACCTATTTGCACCCCTATATTTTCTACATTAAAGCCTAATACTTCAATTACAAAATGTCCTTGTAAAAAATCGTTATTAGAGAAAACTGCTCGATTGTTTGTCGAACCTTGCGAGTATCGCAAACCACGTGAGTAAATTCTAAAGCACTGCACTTTAAAATTAACAATATTGCGTAAAATGCATGTAATTCGAAGAAAACGAATCGACTTACCAATGAACACCACAGCTGATGGAACTAAATTAACACACGGTGTGGTCGTAGCGAACACTGCTCGGCCTTTCTATTGATTGACGCTGAAGCCAAATTATAACCATCCTATAACTATATAGGTACGGGTTATTTATCAGATAAAAACCGTGTTACTTTGCCGGTGATAAAGTGCATCAAACTAGATTGTACCAGAATAATTTTCAGTTCGCCTCTTCGGTCTACATCGCACAGGAAACATTACAAAAATTGTATCGTCCAAAAACGCTAATCTCGCCGCCCCGCTGGAACCTGAAATTTTCGAAATTTCATGCGCATTTCGAAAATTTCCCGAAAAATTTCCGAGCTTTTACGCTCCTGCGCCGAGCCGCTTTTCCGTTTTTCTATCTACACACATTTGTTGATTCGACTTTAATCGCAAAACAGTTAAAAAAAATTCACTACGCATTTGAGAATATGCCCTCGGATTGTACATTTTACACTAATCAACCGTCTGATACACCAAACAATTTACCAAAACCATTAAACACCCCACTAAAAAAAACCCAATTTAATTACCCTCGAGTTGGTTAAATAAAAACAGGCCGTTAATGAAGCACCTCTCGTAAACTACCCGTTAACTTCCGTCCGGGCCCTTCGGGTTTATGGGCTCGCTAAGCGCCCGTTTGATCGCCGGGCGGGGAAAATAAATTGACCGAGTATCGGTTTTGTGTGTTTGTCCCGCGAAAATGGTGTTTACAATGAAGCCGCAGCGGAAAGTCCTCCTTGCACGAGTTTTTCCGATGACGGGGAATTTACCGTGAACGGTCACGCGATACATTTATCGCGCCCGGACGGGATAATTCGCCAGCAGCATTAGGGTTAACCCGAGATTAGTAATTTAAATAAACCGGCTAATTCGCCTCGATCGCTCCTCGTAAGATTTATTCCGGCCATTGATTTTTTTCGGTCGAGTCGAGTCGAGGAATATTTGAGGCTCAATTATTGGGTAATGCACGCGAGGCTTATTCTATTTTTAGCTTAAATTATTAATTTTAAACGACCCCATCCAGGTCGCCCAACGACATCTGTGATTAAGGCAGCGAATCGGAGTTCGATCGACTTTCCAGCCGGATCACCGGATCGAGGAGTTTCCTTCCGGGCGGCGTTTGTCGTTCTCCTAGTGTTCACTGTGAGCTTTTATGTTCGATTAGTTGTCATAAGGCACGCGGTGAATGCCAAGAGCAGACATGTGTCAACGCGAGTCCATCGACTCGCTAGAGGTAAACGGATCCGGCGATCTTCGACCCTCCGGAGAATCCAGAAGAGCGCGAAAGGGATGCTAAATCGCCGTAGAACAAACAAATAAAAAAACCCGACACCCCCGAGGGATTTCTAGAGCGCGGGGTGAATCCTCCGTCGTATACTTAAGGGGTCGCCAGCGGCGGAATCCACACTTTTTTTTTTCACATCAATAAAAATATTCACCACTCTTTTGCGTTTGATTCACACATAAAGATTATTTTTTAACACCCTCGAGCAAACTCTATTGGTACCAACAAAGTTGGTATTATTGACATTGACATCTAGAACCAACTGAAAAATAAATTATAATTATAATAAAAGTGTACCGCGCGCGCTACTGAGGATTAGGGTCGTCCTTGCATCCCTAGGGAGCGACCGATAAGGGCTGGAATCTCGCCCTCCGTCCCTTCGAGCGCTAGTTGATTAAACTTATATGCACTTGCGTCCCCCGAATTGGCACACATACGAGAAATGGGGTAAAAAAAACTGGATGGTAGGGTAGCTGATACGATTAATTCCTCCGGCTTGTGCAAGCGACGCCCGCCCGATCCGTTTACCATTCGAATAACCGACCGGCGGAATAGAAATTCAGCCTTCGCCTCGAATTAAGATCAATCCGGAGGCTGCAATAGCAGTTTTGGGAGAACGCCAGATGGCCGGAATTCGCTCCTTTGCATATAAACCTAATGCGAAATTCAATCTCGAGCTAAAAGGATTTTCTTGCGAAATGAAACGGGTGAGAGACGGCAGAGCGGGAGCGTCATTAAGACGTGTCTGCGTTCACGCGATAGCCTCGCAGGAACTAATTAGAATCCGCTGCAATTGGGCGCGATAAATAAGGAATCAAAGGCGACGGAGACAAAAGTTGGCAATCAGAAAGGGAGATTTGATTATAATGAAGGGGAATAATGGTTACTTGGATGAGATGGTGGGAATCTGAAATGTGTAACATTAGTCTTGTTATGTTACAATATGATCATCAGCAGGAATAAGAAAAAATTGTTCTACCTGTTATAACCAGGAAATAAGGTAGGAGGGGAATAAAATTGGAATATGTGCAAGCTTTAAAGTTTAAATTTTACTAATTATTTAGTCATCACAATATATCTCCTGCTGTGATCATCAGCAGGAATAAAGGTAGGGAGAGAATAAGGTAGAAATCTGGAGTATACAGCATAGAAGTTTAAAATCCTACTAATTATTGCTCTACTACTAAAAATTGCTCTACCTATTATAAATAGGAGCGTAAGGTACCAGGAAAATAAGGTAGGAATCTGAAATATGTACAGTTTTACAGTGATCTGTAATCATCTCTGTGATCATCAACAGGAATATACAGGTTGCTCCATTTTTGATCGCAACATAGGTTATATAGGCCATGGGTGCGATAAAGACAACTTCAAATAAACATTTATAAAGGAAAAAGAAAGAGTGACATTTGTGTCATTGCAACTTTTCACTCTAACAACTGTCCTTTTAATAATCTTTCTTTGTTCCACTCATAGAAATGACCATGTTGCAATCGGAAATGGAGCAAGGTGTATAATAAAAAATAGCTCTACCTATCATATATAGAATCAATAAGGTAGCAGGATAATAAGATGTGTATATAATATGTACAATTTTTCTAGTCCAAAATTCTACTAAATGATTACAATATATTCCCTTCTGTGATCATCAGCAGGAACATCAAACATTTGCTGTAACTATCATCCTCTTCCTGCTACTATTCCAAGCGACTATCCCTTTATTAGGTGTCTTCGAAGTGCGACTGTAACTCATGCAAAGAGGCGGAATTTACGGCGCTGCCCGTAAAATCGGGCGTAATAAAATTTTTGGCAAGCCAACCGAACGGGCGTGCGATAAAAGCGCCCCCGTTAAATCTCCCCGAAAACGTTAAAGGTGAACGCCAGGAAAGGAGAACGTAATGGAAAAGCGGACATTTTCCCGACAATAATCCGGCGAATTAATACAATTCGCGCTGTTGCGAAACAAAGCGTTCTCTAATCAACGAATCGTAATTGGCGGAATTCCTTTCGGGGGGCTGGAGGAGTTTACAACCCATTACTTTTTCCGGTTATCTGCCATCTTGGCTCGCTCTCCATCTTGCGAGTCCCGGATTGCTGCTGCACTCCCGGTCGGGGTCCAGGAATTTCCTGGATAATATCGAAACAGCCCTATTTCCAGTACCGAAAATAGATACACTATACTTTCCCTTACCGGGGAAATCTACCATTAATTTCCCTTTTGCATAAATTATATACTTATACCTCTTTTTATACAATTAATTATATCATAATGTATGAAATAAATTATTATTTGTGTTTTGATTTTTTTGTTGGTGGTATAACAGAATATTAATTAGCTGAAACCGGACCTGATTAGTTAGAAACCCGAACATCCAGCATCGTTGCCGAATCGGCCGGTATCGATCCGGTTGCCATGGCGACCAGCAGAAGAGAATCCTTCCTTGTCTGGGCCGCGGCGGGCCGCCCCGTTCCCTCTCTGTCCGTCGCGAGGCTGGATGCGCCGCCTGGCAAAGGGCCTCGGGATAGAGGTGGGGTCGTGCCGGAGCTGGCGTGTATTTTTAGCCTTTTTCGCCGGCGAAATTTCGAAACGCAATATTTAATTCGATTGAAAACAGGTTGTTTCATGTGCCGGATGGGGGAGCGAATTGCACCCCTTCATCAGGGAGGAGTGATAGATGACGGCGAGTTGCAGGTTTATTATTCCGGCTTAAGACGTTCGAGGTTGACGCAGCAATTCTCCGGCGCTATTGTTCCCGAAGATTAATGGCAGGATACTGAAACGTCGACTTATCACTTTAACTGCCTTAATATCGCCCATTATTGCTAAATAGTTGCAAATCTCCGCTCGTATTTTACACCCGGAGCCGGAAAATCGCATTCAATGCGAAATCAAATGGTATCATTACGAGAAATGACAAATAGACAAAATGACGTTAGACAAATGACAGGTAATCAACACTAATATGATATAACTTTAGCAAATAATCAACTTGTTTAGTTAGAAAATTAAATGGTATAATTTCGACAAATATAACAGTAGACAAAATGACGTTTGACAAGTAATCAACACAAATATGATATAACTTTAGCAAATAATCGTAACTTGTATAGTTATAAAACTAAATGGTATAATTTCGACAAATGACAAGTGACATGTAGGTTTTCTACATAAACGACTAATATATTATAGGTAAGTCTAATAAATAATCATAACTTGTATACGTAAAGAATCAAATGATATTCTATTTTGACAAATGACAGTAGAGAAATGATCATATAACTTTAATAAAGAATACAAAACTTGTCTAGTTGGTATTATTTTAATTTAGATCTCAAGAAATTGGATCATCAATCAGCACAAACTGCCAATTAATCGTCCTACCGCCGGCGATCGTCGTAAAAATCCTTTAACAGCGCCATTAAAGTGCTCGCGGGAGTTAATCATCGCCGATAAGGATGAAAACGGGCCGTAAAATCCCCCGAACGCAGCAGGTAAACAATACGAAATCGAAGAAACCCCCGCCGCAGAATCGATTTTAATTCGATTCCTATCGATTCGGCTCGAGATCCATCCGGCAGGTGAAAGGAGGAAGAAAGCCTCGGAGTAAAACCGTTTAGGGCTAATCCCGCTGCGAATTAATTCGATTTTCATTAGGAAAACTCGGCGTTACGGCTACGCGAAATTGATATTTGCTCGGTGGCTGGGAAAAGGACGAAGGAGAAAGCGCGTAAGGACGAAATGAAGCGGAACGGGCGAACAAAGAGGATGGAAAATCCGGCGAT